GATATAACTGTGACAAGGCAGGGACGATCAGAAGGAAACTTTGCTTACATGTTTTGGAGGCATTGTTGGAAGGTGTTGTCAGAGTAAGGGCCTGTAAAGAGGATCACAAAAAATCTATCCCATTTGGTTGGGCTAAACAGAGTACTCAGAATGTTTGTGGAGGTGGGGGTACTATAACATTATTGTAAAGTATTGTGGGGGAAAGGGTGAAAATGAGTTAACGATAAGGATAAGATGTGTTAGATGTCAAAGGTTGTAGATAGAATGTAGGATAGAATGACAGTGAAAAGATTATAGAAGGGAGCAAATGGAATACGGTTAACCCTTTCACCTTTTACGGTGTAAAAGGAGAAAGGGCGATCAGATCAAATGAAGAGTATGTGTCTGAGGAAGGGAGTAACACTGTATGAAGAAAACTGCGAAAGAGAATTTTTGAAGCAATCAAAGGGTAATGCGAGTAGAAATGGTAGTTGTAAAAGTAGGGGAAGAATCCAGAGGTGAGATAAAGGAACGCAGAAAGGTAGTGAAGTGTCGGGAATAATGTCAGGAGGGGTGGGATCCGGAAAAGGACATTGTTGTGACATAAGGGAGTCTCGTGAGTATCTAGAAGGGAGTGGTATGGATAATGGGGAGGGAAGAGGGAATAGTGATGCACATGGAGGAGGATATGATGGGGTGTTTTTGGGCGAGTGTGAGGCAGAGTGGTTGGGGGAACTTGAGGAGGACGGATATTCCTATCAGCGAATAGGAATAGAGTGGATGAGGGAATGGAGCATTCTCTTGGGTCATGTTTAGGAAGTTTTGGCCAGGGAAGGACACTCCATCAATATGAACTTCATGGGAAGGTCATGTCTACGGAAGCTAATCTTGGCCATGTTGGTAAGGAGTTAAGTTGGCGTCTAGGAGGAATAGTGTAGCACTGGACTGCTCCTGCATCATAGTCAACAAGGCATGCAAGGCGCTTTTACAGTCTGAGCGGTCCTTGTTGTAGATACGGCAATGAGTCGAGGAGACGGAAACAGTTCCTGTACAAGTATTAAGGGAGGAGTGAGGCTTAGGAGGAATCGGTTTGCCAGTGAGGTCAGTCA